CTGATTGAGATCACAACTACCCATACTCGCTGAGAAATTACAACCAAAACACCCAAATAGCGATATAGTGCACAAGAAACTACTAGATCGCAAAAACATTATAAAGAAAATGCATGACCATCATTCCAGCAGTTGCCATACCAACCATTAAAACCAGGTGACCAAGTTCGTGTCCAAAATGACAAAATCTGGACACCAGGAGAGGTAGTAGCAGCAGCAGAACAACCCAGATCATACCAGATCCTAACACCCAATGGAAAAGTACTCAGGAGAAACAGAAGTCACATTAATAAAATTCCAGACAGTAGTGAGAAAACGAGCAGTGAACAATTACCACCAGTTCCCATAGAAGAAAATATTGAACCCAATCGAAACACTATAAATGTTCAGAAGCACAGTCCTAGAGAAATTGCAAAACCGGCAATTATAACTAAGTCTGGTAGAATTGTGAAACCAAACAGAAAATATCACGATTTTGTAAAATAGAAGTTGACTTAGTCATAACAGGACAGAATAATCCCTTACTGAGTCACGTGGAGTCATAATGGCAGTCTACCCGTATCTCCAAGTCATGTTTAAACATATTACGTGTTACTACATAGACCAGTTTATTATTAAGTTGATAGAGTTAAGATGTTTCCAAAATTATAAATTTCGAGTTCAAGTTTAAATACAAAGAATTCCAAAACTATATGAAAACTTTATATGAAACATCAAACAATAAGACTCTTAAACTGTCAGTCACTTTTTATTTATCTTCAAACAACAGGGGATGTCATAGTGTTATAGCGCCAGCTACAGTTTATACTTGTAATGTATATGTATTCATTTTTGTACATGCGCAATAAAGACACTTTCCAACCGGACACCATCTTGTCTGAGTTATTTATAGTTTACAATATGTTCACACACGATGTAAACAAGTTACTATATTTCCTTGCTATTGTTTGGTTAAGGTAAATTCCGACGATGATATACGCTTATGTTATTTCTCAGTCTAAATCTGAATCGAAATGTATTGTACCTTGTGACTGCATGTCCCGCAATGCCGTAGTTATGGCGGCGACGACACCGCCTGTAACATCTTCAGTAGTGGTGGTCTTTGCCCATCCTATCACCGTGTTCCCTCTCAGAATAACGGCGTCAGTGTTGGTGTACCCGACGTCTACACCAATGCAGCAGCACTCCGCCGACATGTTGTGTACAAATCACAAATTAAATGAGTGCACGACTACTAAACCCGCACAAATACAATATTACATGCAAATCTGGCCTTTAATACTAGCCTACTCATCGTTGTCGTCGATTGCGCATGTTTGTGCGCAGGTGAATGACGTAAAATAGCAGCATTTACGACATAGTAAATAAATATGCCAAACAACCAACATAGACCTTCTTTTTTCAATTATACATTATACTAATTTTTATGAGTATATTATTTTTTGACAAATTATGCAAATCTAGCGACGAACGTAAAACGTTAGCGTTAGCGACGAACGTAAAACGGGTAAGCGTTGCTATGTAAACATTAGCCCAGCTGTACTCGCGGCTCTTTTAAAGCGGACAAGTCATACCGTGCTGTTCGTTTGATTTGATGCGATTTTCTCGACTTTCATTCAAGGTAAGTTAAGTTTATACGTAAACACTCAATTTCAAATTGCCGATGAAACATGCACAAAAGTATCTGAGCTACGTGTATGATAATCATCAAGGCCGTGTTGATCGAGGTCAAGTGAAATACGGATATCGTTTCAAGTTGACATCTGTTTGTTTCTTACACTGTGACATTTAGGTATACTGCATGGATTTGGAATAGTTATAATACATTTATAGAATTATTTGTTTTATCTGGTTCAGGTATGAGTAAGCCGGGCCGGTCGAGTAGTGAAAACACGAAAACAACGAAAAACACAGGAAGGGTAGTGGTCGTAGGTTATCTACAAACTCAAAATGAACTTATCTCAAGCATGTTGTCCTTGAACATCACTTAATCTATCGTTGTTTAAATTTATTCAAATATTTAAAGAGCATGTTTCATTGAGGGTAGTCTACATGACCTGGTGAGAACAGTTCCAGTCACCATGGAACTATAAGCAGTCACCCAGTGGTGAGGGTCGGCTGCTAGGAGTGTAAATACAAAAACGTGAATTCGTACACAAGGTGTAAAATGTAATCAATTATTTTATTTATTCGTAATTTGTACAAAGATCTTATTTTTTTGTAAGCGTATAAAGTATTTTCGTAATTTATATGCAATTTTCAATTTTGATTCTTATACACAAATTAAGTTTGCTTTATCTGTAAAGTCATCGTACGAATCGCACGGTTTCGCTAAGGACGGCCAATCATAACCGGCCCACGAACCCATGCGTGATCGTGTTAGGAAAAGCTGTATTTTACTGCAGTTAAATTGAGTCATTTGATTGGGCGCGCCAAGGAGCTGGCGCCACCAATCACGCTATGCGCTGATTCACCGGGAGTCAAGAACAGGTCTACGTTCGTTGACACATTTCCAATTTTGTTTATTCCAACGTTGAAAATTGTTTATGGGCAAGATAATGAAGACTATGGAATGTTTAAATATTTGTGCAATCCGTGTTTTAGTAAACTGACAAAACTGTCGAAACAGATAACATGTCAACTTGTCCGATCCGGCCTTCGTTGCAACTAACACACCATTGGAGAATTCCGGTTCCCTTAGAAACACAGTGGAGAAAAAGCTAGCAACACGTTGAGGTCGTGCGACATACAGTATATCGTGGTGAAATCTGCCAAGGGTTAATGTTGAGGCTTCGGCCGAATTATTGGTCCTTGGCTGGCGAAGATTCTGTAAAGTGTAAAAACCTATTTTTCACTGTAAATGAAACTTTCATTTTATTTCCTGTAAAAACGTAAAATGCCCTTTTTAATTTCATCATGATATAATTAGAGGATGTAAACGGCACGCGAGGGTATTTGGTAGCGGATATAAAACCTCTCAGGGCAAAATTAGCATATTTGGCGGGAAATAATCACCGAGGGATGAATAACCACGTTCTGGGGCCTCGTCATACACTCTTTCAATCCTCGGGGCGGAGCTACGTCGCAAGACGTCCCATGTTGCTAAGACGCGCACCACTGTACCAAGTATTTCTACGGGCTCTGCGCGCGCTGCCGCTGAGGAATGCGGAACGCCGAGCGAAGAGCCGGTGCAAATTTGAGAAAACAACAGGAACTCAACTTTGAAATAATCCCGAACAATCAAATTTATATGCGTTACACTAGCAGGGGTAATCTTGTTTGACTGTTCAAGGGAGTCTCAACAACTATCCCAATGTACCGTTTTCTGAGAGTTTTCGACCTTTGTTTCACCGTGATGGTTGCCATGCGGTGAAAATGCCTGGATGTCCGCCCCGAGAATAGAAATCACTCCGAGACACGTTCGCACAGGCATGTAATTCCAAGATAAAATGATGAAACAGATTATTATAAAATTGCAAATGTTCAAGTTTATTACTTAAAATACATCGTCAATAAATAGAAAAGGTTGATACAAATATAAAACAGAAAAAATATACACACGAATCGACATTATAAATATCGCGGAATAGTACATTAACAAATGTTAAGAGTGGTAAATTTGAACATGGTGGTTTGACATTTTTCAAGTTGTCGTTTTTGAGGATTTTAGTTTGGTTTTGGAGAAATATAAATTGCAGTTTTGAACAGATTTTCTGTGGCGACTGAGCTTGAGCATACCGTTTCACTTGTGGAGATATTTCTCTGACACTACTTGAGCCATGCCCGATGTTAACGGCCGAACGACACTGGAACTGGGGGCCATCGGAAGGTCATTGTTACCACGCTCATCGACGGTAGGAACACTAACTTTTGACATTAAAATGTCACTACACTGACGTTTTTGTTCACTAGAACTGTCGCGACAGTAACTCCTGATACTTCCTTCATTCTGATGGCCACTTAAATTCATGATTATCCGTATTGATATTCTAGCGTCGTTCAATGATTTTATAGTAGTTGCTTTCTAAGAAGTATTGGGGCAGCCAATTTGCAAACTCGCTAGCGAATTGGCTAACTGCTTTGGTTTTGACTGAACGGTTGGCTTTCGAATCTCTCGCTGGCGCCGTCATGTGGTCACGCCCACTCTGGGTGAATCTATATAACAGTAGGGGGTCGTCATACCTTAGTTGGATGGCGATTTCGCTTTCAAGTATACAAGGGAAAGTGTTATATTTTCTTCATGTAATGAGGTGTTCGTATACAAGAGATTGTCCACGCAAAAACGATGAATGAAGTCGAATTTTATTAGAGGTTGGTTTAATGTTTAATGTAGGCAACTATTTCTCAGCTGGTCGCTTTATTAAGTTTCAACCAGTGTTCAAGATGGCTACCCCCATATAGTAAATATCGGTGGATTAATAACATTTATCATATTATCACTTGTACGCCAGCTGACTGTGGCCATTCTCAAGCTGACCAGGAAACTACTTTCACATTATCACACCTCGCAAAGCAAAATCATTCAGGGGAATCCAGACATGTAGCACTGGGGCTACGCAAAAGCATTCTATGTTCTCTAATGCAATATAGACTAGCCCA